TGAGGATTGCATCCAGCAATTTAAGATCAACACGGCGGCTGGCCCTTCGCGGATTGCGCCCAGGGCTCTGCTCCACCTCAGCCAAGGTGCCTACGAAGGCATAGCGTTTTTGTTCAACGGATGCGAGGCCCAGCTAGCTTGGCCCAACGATCGAGTTTGGACGGAGATGGTGCGTTTGGCCAAGCCTGATGGGGGAGTCCGCTTGATAGCCCTCATTAACACCCTCTGCCGAGTATGGGGCAAGCTTAGGAAGCCTGTCACTTGTAGCTGGCAAGAGTCGCATGGTTGTCTCGAGATCTGGGGCACCAGGAAGCGGCATAGCTCCACGGACAGCGCTTTCGCGCACAACCTGTCCGCAGAGCTAGCGTCCCTGCTCGGCGAGATCTCAATTTCAGTTTTGCTGGATATGATCAAGTGCTTCGAAATGATTCACCCTGCCCAACTCATCAAGGAGGCAGAGGCTGTCAGCTTTCCGCCTCGCCTCGTGTGGATGCTCGTGGATTTGTACAGACAGCCACGGCGTCTGAAGGCATTCGGAAGCCTTTCCGAGTCCCTCGAGGCTTTCCAAGGCATCCTCGCTGGATGCAGCCATGCCACAGGTATGCTTTTCGTGCTGACCTTTCGGGCGCTCAAGCGCCTCAACCAGATTGCCCCGTGCGTGACGCCGCGGGCGTTAGTAGATGACGTGTCGCTGCAGCTGGTCGCCACGACGCCTGACACCTTGCCGCAGCTCGAGAAGGCTGTACGGATCTTCAGGTGCGAGGCCCAGGTACTAGGGCTGAACACCCAGCCCAAGAAGTCTGGTATCGTGGCGGCCTCGGGAAGGTCCAAGAGGTTGTTTCGGCTCGGAGCGGCGCAGCTCAAACTTCAGTTTCGGCCATGGATGCGAAACCTGGGGCATGAGTTGGCTGGTGGCAAAGTGTTGAGGCTACAGGAGAAGGCACGCCTCAAGTCTCTGAAGCAGCGCCGCCGCAAGTACATGGCGCTGCGCAGCGCCGTCGGGCGCAAAGCCTCGCTCTTGTTCAGAACTGGAGCGCTACCGGCCGCGGGGCATGGTGGCGGCGCATCTGGAGTTTCGGACGTTTCTCTTCGATATTTCAGACAAATGGCTTCTACCCTCGCAGGGGGCAAAAAACATGGTGGGGTCACAGCGTATCTCCTCGCTCACCGCGACCCCTATTACGATCCCATATTCGACTGCACGCTCACCATATGTCTCCGCTACGCGGCCTGGATCTGGGACAGAAGAGTGTGTCTTGGGAGGGCCCAGAGGGCCTGGGCCCAACTACGTTGCTACTTCGACGGCAACCCGACGTGGCAGATAGCGAAGGGGCCCATGTCGGCCTGCTGGCTCTCCCTGCATCGTATCGGATGGGCCATGACCAGCGCTCACACGTTCCTCTCAGACACTAATTTCACGATAAACTTAGTCACGACTTGCCCGTACGACGTCAAGCTATATATGATCGAAGGTATTCAGAGGTGGCAACATCGTCGGCTGCTTCATCACATGCCCACGTCCCAGGGCACCGAGCAGGTTTGGCACAGAGCGTTGCGAGGAGGTCTTCAAGCGATTCGGTGTCCGCGGCAACTTGGTGCTCTCTCGGCCGTCATGGCTGACGTTATTCCTCTTCCAAGTGTGCGCGCTTCCCAGGGCTACCGCATAGGCCCTGAATGTCATGTGTGTCAGGCTCCCCAGGGCTCCTACGGGCACATCTGGTACGACTGTGCGGGCTTGGTATTGGACGGAGTTGACGCGCTTGGCGAGCAGGTCCCCGACGAGATTCTGAGCCATAGGAATGCCTTAATTAATTCCTGTCTAGATATCTTGGGGAACCCGCAGGCCGAAACCACCTATCTCTCCTATGGGATCCCCTCGCTCTCTGTGGCTTTGGAGCCCCCCGAGGCCCACCCTCAGGTCCAGCACTGGGGGAACGTTTCAGGCCCGTGGGGGCCAACCTGTTTCGTCGATGGGAGCTGCCTCCAGTCAAGTCTCCCT